TTTAGCACCTCCTCCCACGGCAACGTCTTGGATTGCTCGGTGCAGAACGACTTGAGCGAAATCTTGATAACACTTACGTCTTTGTCAGCGTTTGCTGCGCGTTGTGCAGCCACATCTTGACGTCGTCGCTTTGTCTCTGTGGTCAGGTGTTAGAGCTCCAATAAATATCTTCGAGTTTTTCACTTGCGAGTTTGGTCCTGGGTCGTCTTCTGCGTCCAAGCGAGGACGCTTCGTCGCCATCGTGCAAATTGTCGAATGATATGCTAGCTCTCCTGCTTTGGCAACAAAGATGCAGTCTAAAACACTGAATTCAAGTAAATTATTATGCAGTCATCTATTGGCCGAAATAAGTATTCATTGCACTTGCAGTGTGTGAGTGATGCTCAGTAAATAGCCGCCTTTTACTCTGACGGGGCGAACTGGTCCAATTGCTTTCACTTACAGATATTACTATTGTCATACAGCTGAAGAAACCCAGGAGCTTCTGATCAACGTGATCATTATCATTCCCCTCTTGCCTTTATACAAATACGATTGACGCTGCTTACCAAAAGCCGATCATCCAAACGCAAAAAGCTGCAGCAGCATTGGCCACATTGGCAGATAGCAAGGCAACCAGATCAGATCGCTGATCTGAATGGCATCCATCCGTTGGTGGAAGTCGGACTACAAAGTTGTCTGAAAATTACCGTGGCGCTGGTAAGGTTGCGCCAAACGATGCATATAATTGCTTTCTAGTGAGGTTTTATTTCCGTGGGATGGGGCCACAGAGCGGAGACATCTTTCGCCTGATGACATTGCAGCTGCACACACGTCCAATGCTGGAGTTGAAAGAGCCTGGACGCGTATTTAAATACCACTTACGTAGGAAATGACATTTGTGTGTGGCACTGCTGCGATTCGCGATGCCGGGAGATTCTAACCAGCACAGTTATTGGCCCCTCAGTCTACGGATAAATGAAAATCAAATCCGAGCGTATTGAATATACTAATTGAAGTTGTTCGAGCTTGTTTTGGGAGTAAATTAGCCTTCTTACGATATATTGAAAAAGATTAAAAGAACAATAACGCCGTGGTTACTGTGATATCACAAAAAAACTAAAATAAAAAGCAAAGAGCTTTTCAAATTTCCAATACAAAAGTACTACGTTTGGCTGCCAGTTGAAGCTCTTTCTAGTGCATCGCTAGAGTTGCCAGCAGGAAGAATACAAAGACACGCGCGATTCCGTCCGTCAGCAGGGACTAAAAGTGAGTCTGGTGAAAATATACCATACCACGGTCATCCTGACTCCGTTGTTTTCTCCTTTGTGTAGCTCATATTTTCAGACCATAGCCGAGAGGTCTATCCGAATCGTGCGTCCCCGCTAATCTGCTCACAGCGACCGAACGAAACGGATCCCATAGCTGTCCCGCGTGAATGGCCTGCTCTAGGTTTCTTCTCGCTAGTAGTTAGTACAAAGCTGCGGGGCTCTGTTGTACGTTCACTCTGCTTCATTTTTATTTTTGGTGCTCGTCATGCACGAGAATTGCCGATGCATGTACACTTTAAAAAGACACCATATTGTTCGTATTATTGTGAACATTATCCCAGCCATGTACTTCGACTCAGCGCACGCAGCATGACGACACAGCATTGCGCGGCAGACAGTGCCAGTCATGAAGCTCAACTCAGCGCACGCTGCATGACGAGCCAGCTTTGTGCGACAGACAGGCCAGCGAGACGTTGATGACAGGGACCTCCGCCGTGGAATGCATATATGTGAACTCGACGCCGTCTTGTAGTTGGACCAATTGTTCTAGCACCTGGTGCTGAGCACAACGACGTGAAGTTCACGCCTGTATCGCTGTACGAGGACCGTCGAGCACTCCGCTCCCGCCCAATTGGATATCAATACTCGATCCGTTGATCGGGCCACAACGATATTTCCCACGGGATTTCACACGCTCCCGACGAACCGGGGACATGAGCTGCGTCTCGAACAAAAGCGTTGTTGGCGACAAACACCGCTTCCCGCTGCGTTCCACCGAACGCGTCTGGACCGCCGAGCCCGACGTATCGGTCAAATGTTGCCACGCTATCGCTATCAGTGGTGACATGGACCAATTGATCAAATTCCTTCCGACTGCGGTCATGCGCACGTTCAACCGTCACCCACGGCTGCGCGCACTGGTCGTCAAGGACGAGGAGTTCATGGCCGAAATTCAGCCGCATATCACGCTGGACGACGTCACGGCCAAAAATCTGCTGCGTGTCCGTGAAATTTCGGACTCGAACGAGGACGTCGCGGCCTGGAAGACCTGGAATCAGTTCGTACAGACCGAGACGCACATCCCGTTCGACCGGTTCACACAGTTCATGTTCTACCTCACTGTATGGGTTAACCGGTCGGAGAACAAAGCTCGTTTCTTCCTCTTCTCGGACCACATCATGTCGGACGGCTACTCGGGCCAGATCTTCGTCAACGACACGCTCGAAGACGTCGCATTGCTGTCGATTGAGGCGGCTAAACCGGTGAACGAGTTCCCGCTGCGACCGTCACTCTACGACATGTGGTTCACCGGCGGCCCGTGGTGGCTCAAGCCGGTTGCCAAGATCGTGTTAGCGCTTATTGGTGGTTCCGCTTTCGTCAACTTCATGAAGGGTTTCAAGCCCGTTCTGACCCCGCGTGAGGATCAGAAGGACTTTGGACCAAAGTCTGGTATCCCGTTCGAACAGAACAGTACCACGCTACTCAGCCAGGCCGGTAACCCGACCAACATGCGCGATACTCTGCGCAAATGCAAAGAAGAGGGCGTCACAGTGGGTGGAGCTCTGATTCCGATGTTGGTGCTGGCCTTCTACCACGCCAGCAAGGTCGACCATAAACTCAACGGCGTGGACGAGACCGACGGCCCGTTCCGGTTGGTGGCCGATATGTGCTACAACATGCGTCAACGTGTACCAAAACCCGCAGAAGAGCGACAAGTGGGTATGTATGTGGCCATTAATCCTCTCCAGTGGCTGGCGACCGATGGTGTTAACATGAAGACGGAGAAGTTCTGGAACTTGGCTCGCACTTCGAAGCAGCAGATGGTTTCGCAAGGCGATAAACTACTGGAGATGGCTATGCCGTGCTTCCTTTTGGATCGCAAGCTCATCAAACCAAAATTCGGAGAGATGCTTGGCGATGTTAAAATCCCTAGCTCCTGCACAGGTGACGCAACTATCTCCAGCATCGGACGCTACATCTACAAGTCGAAGCATAACTTGGCCTCTAACGGCGTGCTTGAGGTGGAGGACATGTTCGTCTTCTGTGGTGTCCCGCTCGTGGCTCCGTCGTCGATTATTTGGCTATCCACCGTCAACTCGTTCAACTACTCGCTGGCCCACAAGGTGGACGAGAAGGTTGGCAGTGCGTTGTTTAACGCTTACGTCAAGATCTGCGAGAACGCTAGCAGCATCAACAAGGATGACACAATGGAGGACGTACTCAAGCGTCTTGACATCCATGCCTAAAACTACTATAAATGAAAATATTCTTACAATTACTTTAAGCTTCACCGATGTGTTGACTGGAGACAGCATCGTGATGACCGCAAGTCCAATCGGCTATTATCCTCTCCCTTCAGACCGTCATGGGGTCGAACAATACAATAATAAATTGTATTGCAGAATTATCTTGCACGTAAAAATCACTGCAAAATGCTCGACCCCAATATTAATTATATTGGAGTTGTTTTTCGCATGGTCCCATGTATTGAACATCGACGGCAATAAAAAAAAAATCATTGCAATAGGGTGAGTCAGAATTGAGGAATGGCAAGAAAAAAAATGATGGGGGCAGACACTGCTAGCATGTGGAGGTTGCACCGCAGTTTACTTGGCCCTCCCAGCGACTGTAGGTGCTTGATTGGGCCAAGGACCGCAATAGCATGTCGTCGTCCTTCTAGAACCTGCATATTGTACCTTTCTGACAGCTAAGTATGGTGCCTTGAAGCATCAATGCAAACTACCGTGTATCAGAGAGCAAGCGACATCTTATAGGCATGCTTAAATCGAAGCTGGGCGATGCAAATGCACCCGAACGCTCGTTTGCCGCATGCAAGAGTTGTTACGGTGAACTGCGAAGTTGAAGACTCAATTTGCATAGAATTCATTTGATTATAAGAGTGATGATCACCCAAAAGTGGCCAACCATTTCTGAAATGGTTGGCGATTGCCGAAATGGTTCACCTAAACAGGTAAACCATTTCAGAAAAATGAAATGTGAGCCAACCATAAAAAATGGTCCGCCATTTTGCAAAATAATAGTCACGAAAGATCTAATTCTGACTCTCCCCAATACGAGCACTTCCAAATCAATTGCTACGGTATTCACATGTAAATACCGTAAAAACTGATTCGGTGTCATTTTTCCGACATAGGTACCGTATATCACGGCGTAGATGGATGGAATTCGCCGTGCGAATTGCACTAAGATTATTTGATGATTGTGATAGGCTGAATAATATTTATGTGTTCTTGAAAGGTCACTGAGCACAGTGCAACGATGGGAGAGCTCGATGCACGCGTTGAAGAAGTGCTGGAGAAAACGACAGCGGAGAAGATCAAGTATACCTATTTACGTGCAATAGCTCGCTTTGTGGAGTGGCTGCATACTAACACAGACGACGATCGACGGCAGACACTTTTCACTAGCTCATTCCGAGAGCTTCAGACTATTAACGCAGGCACAATTACTTCGTGGCTGTCAAGACCACCTTTGCGAAGTCCCGTGTGTTTGGACTCTTTATCTACGCAAGATTGTATGCG